CCCCAAAACCCCAAAACCCCTTCTAGCTTAAATAATATTAAGTAAAAAGATAATTTTTAAAAATAAAGAAAATATAAAGCAATTCAACTTTAATCTGAATTAATTCAATCATCTTTAAGCTTATTCAAAGGTTCTTTAATTTCCTCTCCCTTAGTAATTTCGTTTTATTAAATATTAATTTGAATTTTATTGAGGGTTCCATCTATAATATTTTCTACCTTTTATTCTTCCTGCTCCTCAACCTAATCCTTTTTCTCTTGTTCATTCTAATTTCTTTTAATTAAACTTTATTAATCTTTAGTTTCTAACTGAGAACTAATATTTTGTACTACTGCCATCACGACTTGAGCTTGTCTTACTGCAGCTAAATCTTGTCCTTTTTGCATGTCATTTATATTGCTCTAAGTTTCCTCTGCTTTATTTGCTAGAATTCTATATTACTCAGCTTTCTCAAAGCTTTTTTCAGCGTCAAGTAAATAGACCTCTCTTCTAAATTCCTCTTTCAAATAGTTACCTTGTTCCTAATACCATTCAGCTTTCTTAGTGGCCTCTGCAGCTTTTTCCAATAGTTAATCTTTAAATTCTGTATATTATTGTTCTTGATTTACTGTAAAAACTTCCTCCTTAATCTCAGGAGCGATTTTTTCGTCATTAATAACAGATTCCTAGAAATTTTTAGCTTTTTCTACCTAAGCCTCCTGCTATCTTTGATCAAAATATGAAAGAGCACAACCAGTTACAAAGGCAACTAAAAATGAAATCATAGAATTTAATTTCACATTCTAATAAACATTATTTTTCTTTTTAAAGTATCTTTCAACTTCAGTATTGTAAATTTCAAGCCTAATCTTTTGGAGATTAACTTGCTTTGATACTATTTTACCTTTTATTACTATTTCATTTCTTATAAAATAATCCCAGATTTTCTTTCCATCATTACAATTACCAATCTAGTGAATAAATTCGATATCAGATGTTTTATTTCTAAAAAACCAGTTATTTCCAAGTGTTATTAATGCCGAAATGGCTGCTGCTGATAAAGCTCAATTTAAACCAGACAGCAAAATATTGAGTATACTATCGTAAGCTTCTTGGGGAAAGTACATCTTGTAGATTATACTATAAAGTGCTCCAAGAGCACCTACCAAAGCACCAATGACTACTTGTGCAATTATTTGAGGTGAGTAGTTTTTTATTTCCAATAGCCAATTAGATATGAGTCTAGATATAAGAAAAGATAAACCTCCACCGAGAGCTTCAAATCCTAAAATAATCAGAATAACTTTCTATTATTCCATTTCATCCTGGATTTTTAATATATCCATCATCCCAATATAGTTCAAGGCTGGTACAGATATAGAAGAAGCAATAAGACCAGTGATTGCTCCAATTATTCCAGAAAACATCCATTAAAAAATTGAAAAATTTAGATTCCAAGCGAGAAATTATTAAACTGCTATCTGGGAAGAATGAAGTAAAAATTTTAGGAAGCACAATTTTTGGAGCTGCTATTGCAGCTACAGTTTCAGTTCAATACTAAAAATGGCGATCGACAAACAAATTAGTAGAGCAATTACTATCTTTGATAGCAAAATTATATCATGAAAAACTCGCATAATAAGAGTCTTATTTAAAATTGATCAAAAATACTTTAGTCCCTAATTTAATAATCTTAACTAGTTAAAACTTTATAATTAAATGTTAATAAGATATCTGGTATTAGTATTAACCATACTTAAATTGGTCAATTTATAAGAGATACAATCACAAATCTGTGAATAGTGCTCAATTCAACCCTGTGGTTGCGAATTATTCAAGTGCTCTCAAGGACCAATTTATCCAGAAAATGTTGAAGATTTATCAAGGGGATTCTCTGGTTGCTAATCTTAGACAGAGCCTTTTGTTAATGCTGTGATCATTCAAAAAATTTAAGGAACATGTCTATGTCCATATGTCAATGTCGATAAAAACTGCAAGCCTTTAGATAAGAGTATAAAGATAGGCACAGGATTCCGTTTAGCTCAGTACAATTATTGTATGTTTAGATTTTTTTATACTTTTCTATAGAATAGCTTAAAGTAATGAAAATGGGGACTGATATCTTAGAGAAGATTAAACCATTTTTAGGGCACAAAGAAGATTCTATAAAATTTATTTAAGAGTCAGAATCTTTGGAACTGTTATTTAATGAAATTTAGGCATTAGACCTAGCATATATGTCAACTGAAGTAAGTAATTTGGGTATATACTATGATAATAATACTTTTGCCTCTCCATCAATATATGGTAGCCCAAATCCCTAAAAACCGATGTTTGAGGAACTAACTCGAGGCATTCGTACATTATTTTACTCATTCCAACGATAATATGGTCATCCTGAAAACTATCAAAAACTTTGGAATTACGCTTTAGGAGCGAATTATTCTTAAATAATGAGAGAACTTGAAAGAGAATCAGTTTATTCAAATAGAAAGCATATTGAAGCTTAAATACTAAAATACTGTTTAGAAAAATGCAGCGAATCTTATGCTGCAAATATTATGTTTGTGATTGATGGATCTGGTAGTATTGATATTCAAAATTATAATATTCAAAAGGAATTCATGGTTAACCTTCTAGAAACTATGAAGATAGAAAAAAATCAGCAAGAGGTAGCATTGATTCTTTTTTCTAGCAAAGTTGAATTACAATCTGATTTCTCAACGAACAAAACAAATTTGACAAATACCATTCGAACAATGCATCATCCCTAAAATTAAACATTTACCGATCTAGCTCTAACTGAATCAGCTAAGATTTTTAAAAGATAGATTGAATTACGACCAAACATTATAAACCTTCTATTTATTTTGACAGATGGATAACCAACAACAACAGTAAAAGATTAAACCATTAAAAATTTAAAAAGCTTGAATGTTTCAACATATGCTATTGGAATAGGTTCTTAAATTAATAATGAAAATCTTGCTTAACTTTCAGGAGAAAATGCATCTGATTATTCAAAAGTTTATTATGTTTCCTAGTTTGATTAACTAAAGCTGTTGCTAAACTCAATCCATTAGACAGCTTGTTCAACTCCTACAGAAATAGACATCTAGACTAAAAATCATTCAAATATTGTATTAGATGATACAGGAGCTTAATACTTTGTTCTACTCTAAAAATATGTTTACCTTAGAATCGATCTTAGCAAATATATTTTACAAAATGATACCACTGATGGTAAAAAAGATAAAAATACTAAAAGCTTTACTCAAAATGAAATTGAAATGTATTATTCATTTACAGAAGAGTTACCTAACCAATTCGTGCATGATGGAAAAGGTTAGAGAGTTGGAGATAGTATTGAAGCTACCATAGTCAATAATGTAACAAATAAAAGTAATTTTAATTTCAATCTTAAATTTTTTAGCATACTTTGCTGTCAAATAAACTTAAGAGACTAAATCTCAAGTTAAAATGCAGGTTTTGCCATTGGTTTTTTATAATTGCTCTGCAAACTGTGAAAGTTGCTTAAATTAGAATATTTGTAAGATTTGTAGTGAAGGATTCGTCCTGATTAATGATAAATGCTAAAAGCCTAGTGTATTTGATAATCCATATATTGCACCTATTATTGGTGGAGTTGGAGTCGCTATTGCAGCCCTTGGTGGTATCTTCAATTTCGGAGGCTTCTTTAAATCAGCTTCAATACAAATCCCTTCAAATGCTGGATAGCATTAAAAATAGGATTGATGATTTAAACTTTAATAATTTTTGAATTCATAAATCTTCGCAAAATATTCTATTATTGCATTTGGGGTTTTGGGGTTTTGGGG